GAATCATTCATTACAGTTGCTATGTGGTGATCAAACAAGGTTCCAGGCAATGGCAGTAGATGTGTCCTCTGTCTTCAAAGGTATTCGGGATTTTAAATCAAACAGAAATATAATGGCCAGGTTTTTGATTTTTTTTTTTTTTTTGAGATAAGAAAAAAAAATTACATTGCTGAAATAAAAAAAAAAATGTGGATTTTTTATTTCAAGTCTTGCTTTCCATACAACCAGAAGAATTGCTGAAACCCTAGAGATATCTGGGGAACATTCTGGGTTTATAATTCATGAGCAGTTGTGTATGCAAGGAGCATTCAGGTTGTCAAAATGTTTGAATATTAACCAGAAATAATCTTGAGGGGATTTTGCAGTATTTTTTCTGGAAGAAGTTATCACTGTTGATGAGATCTAGTTACCTCATTATGATCTGGAGACCAAAGAATATGGTTGAAAAATTTCAAGAAATAAAACTTTGCAGAAAAGCTCATGGCCATCAATTTATAAGATAAGAAAAGTATTTTCATGATTGATAATTTTCAGATAGACCAACACTACAAATAAATGTAGATCTACTAGTCTAAATAGCTGTGCTGATTAAAGGAGACATTGAAAGACAAAATGCTGAGGAATTCTATAAAAAGTTGTTCTTTTCTGGGACAATATAATCACTATTAGAATTGTCAAAACAATGACCATTTTGAAGAATTCCTGATTTGAGTGTATGGATCATCTAGCCTACTCACCTGATCTTAATAAATCTAAGTAATTCCTGTTTCTAAATCTTAAAAAGGAGGTAGAAGAAAAAAAAAAAAATGTTCAAATGATTCACAGATTATAGCAGCTGTAGAGTAATATTGCAATGGATTATGTTTTAGAAAGAGTTAAAAAAAAAAAACTTGAGAAATGTGTGCTAAATTGTTAGGTGAATATATGGATTAAGATGTAAGTTACATGACTCCAGGTCACCCCCTTATTTCATACACACACACACACACACATGCACACACATTTCTAAAGAATCAATAGATTTTATTTTTAATCCCACATTTGTATTACTTCACAAATTATTATAGGCGATACTATATTTGAAGTAGATGCCCCATTTTTTATTTTCTAATATGTGTATCTAATAATAATAACTAAAGTAATAGAAATGTCAGATTACAAATAAAATTCATTAACTCTTTAGAAATTGCTTTGTTTACATTTCAGTATGAAACTAAGTGGATATGAGCTTTCAAGATAAAAAAAAGTGACCTGACTGAAAAAGTTTGTTTTCCCAAAAAGGGAAAATAGGGACTTTCTGAACTGTGATACGCTCTACATAGTAGAGCACACCAGATAAAATGGTTTCTTTTACGAACGAGGACACATGTTCAATCCTGCCAAAGAGCACATTTTCTTTATGAAGATTTCTAAATGTGCAGACCAAAGATAAACATAATATACACTGTTTAAAATAAAAATGGGGGGTCTGTTTCAAATAGAAGTATCTACTAACAATAACGTATAGTTTTGCTGTAATTTATATATACATGAAAAACTGAACAGGTTACCAATGCTTATGAATAATAATTTTTTTTTTTTTTTGCTAATATTGCTAGATGCTTCAGTATCTGTCTTTATTTTTGAGATGAGGTATTATGTACACTATTTACATTATTAGGACTATTGTCTTCATCTCCGGCCTTCTTTAGGTGGTTGGAATATCGAACTAAACCCTTTATTCCCCTCTCCAATTTCTCCACTGCGTTAACCGGGTATTGAACTCACACTTTTTTGGGTCCTGTCACTGGATCTAACCAACGTCTATATCCACTATTCCATGTGGCCAGTGGCGACAAAAATGAGGACAATAGTCCGAATATTTTAAACAGTGTGCTAGATGCTTAGTTCAAACTTTATTAATAAATAATTTTCCTGAATAAAATAATTGCAATTTATGTAGTTGCTGTTAATGAAGGAACTTATAATTTATTAACTCTTTAGAAATTGCTTTGTTTACATTTCGATATGAGCTTTTGAGAGAAAAAAAATGACCTGACTGATGAAGTTTGTTTTTGTAAAAAGGAAAAATGGAGACTGTGAGGCCCATCGTGGACAAGTAGTAAAGAAGGCATTGAAAGGAAAATGGTTAGGAATGCCGTGTAAATTTGATGGGTATGGAGAAGCTTTCTTCGAATGAGTTCCAGAATGCTTGAAAGACAACAAGAAATAATTTCGAACTGATTTGGCAACATTTTCGTTGTGTCAATGATAACATCTTCAACGTCTTCAAGTCATGGATCGCTGTTAAGCAACAAAAACCCGGAGACCAATCAAAAGTTCATGCAGGAGAAACACTCAAATTCTCACCCAAAACTTAAGGGTAGGGGTATATAGGATAGATAACGGTTGATCCTAGACTTGAAAGGTTAAGAGACTAGTGATCGGGGAAGCATCATCTCGGGAGTCCTCAAATCATTTTCCCCTGACGAGTTTCTCCTAAGACGATTTCCGCTGATCC